TGCAATCGAGCGATCGCTGCTGCGAAACCGTCGGTCGCTTCCTAATCGGAAGAGAGACCCCCTCAAAGCCAGTTGAGCGCCTCGATGCCGTCGTCGGCCCAGTCGACGCGAGCCCGCGCGGCGGCGCCACCAGCAGCGCGGCGGGGGTCGCCACGGAGAAGATGGGGAGATGGAGAACGCCTCGCTGACGACTGACGGCCATGGCGAGGGAATCACGACGTCAGGAGCGAAAGGCCAGAAGGGGGCCCTCCTCGCGCGCCTCGCGGCGCTCCTTGGCGGCCGATTCGGCGGCCAGCTGCTTGGAGATCCACTCGGCCAGGGCAGGCGCGACCAGAGCCCGCGAGTAGACTGCATCCCCGTCAAGAAGAACGGCTCGTCGCCTCCACTGCTGAGAGCTCGCCAGCAGACCAGCTCGCCCTTGCCCCGTTCCTCGCAGAGTTGGAGCTGCCGGGCCACGAGCTCCATCGAAGCAATATTCGAGCCGTCAACTTGATCATATGACGGGGCCATTTGCATGAGATTCGAGAACTCGCGGTGCATCGACGCGATCGGGTCGTCTGGCGGCACCGCCAGGCCGAGAGCAGCCTTCCAGGCGAAATGATGACCCGCGGGCGACCCACCGTTCCCCACCTCGTCGCGATCAAGCGGCAAGCGCACGGTCCTGGCAGTGGCCAGTCGGGGAAGGAGATGGGACGCATGAGCTACACACCGCTCCGATACTCCCTGCGCCGCTGCCCTCGTCCGTCGCACGCGGCGGCGAGCGCGCGGAGGTCGCCGGCGCCGACACCTCCAGCACCGCCCGGGGCTGGGACGGCCGCGGGGGCCGCGCCGTCAGGTCCAGCGCTAGGAGGTCCAGCCACTGGCGCTGCAAGCCCAGCAAGCCAGCAAGCTGCGGCGGGGGCAGGCGCACTGCCTGCGGGAACGGCAGGGGCGGGGGCCACGGCGGCGGCTCCAGGCGCAGCGGCGGGAGCACCTGCGGCGAGGCCGCCTCCCAAGGGCCCTGCGCCGCCACTTGCCAGGACCACTGCGAGCACCCCCCCGCCTCCATCAGGGCCAGAAGCAGCGGCGGCAGCGGGCCCAAGGCCGCCAGCGGCCTGGCCCCGCTCCGCGAGCTTCGCGGCACCCAGAGCGCAGGCCTAAACAAGCTGGGCGACGGTCGGCCTCGCGGCGAAGTCGCACCGTCGGATCCCCGCTGGGATGACGCCGCCGAGCGGCGCAACACCGGGGCCCCACTCCTTCCACCAGTCGCGGATGTCCGTGTTCGCGGCGTCGCAGTTGTCGACGTAGACGTCGACGTCTGGAGTGAGCACCGCGCATTGATCCAGCGCGCGGGACGAGACACCCACGACAACGCGCTTGTGCGCCAGGCGGGGCGGCGGCTCATCGCATTTCACCCATATCTCATCGCCAACCAAGATCATGAAAAGCGGCCCAAGCCACCAGCTCGAGAGGCGCGACGATCGGGTGAGTCGACCCGCACAGCCTGTTGCGCGGTCGCCCCCGAGGGCGGGCCGCGCGGCGCGGCCCCGGCACGAGCAGCGGGCCGCCGCGGCGACCAGCGAGAGCCCCCAGCGCACGAGCTCGGAGGCCAGGAGGAGCAGGCCGCAGAACGCCGCCTCCCAGGCCGGGGAAGCACGCTGCCCGCTCCCTGCCTCGCACGACGGGCAAGGCGGGCAGGGCGAGGGACACGCGCGGCCCGCCTCCCTCGCGTCCAGGGCGGCCGCCAGGCAGTCAGCCAGCGGCACCTGGACCCCGGCGGCCTCACCCGGCGCCGAGAACGGGCCCGCCTAGAACAGCGGGAGCGGGGGGGCCACCTGCGGAGGCGCCCCGGGCGCCCCGGGGGCCGCAGGCGCCGACGGCAGTAGCCACCAGCGAGCCCGGAGCAGCAGGAACTGTTGCTCGCGAGCAGGAGGCCGAGCCCGGTGCCACTGAGGCGCATCCATGCGAAAGCCTCACCCGCCAGGAAAAGGTTTGAGCCGACGCGGTTGCGGCGCTTCGGCGCGACCACGACGGCCCTCGGTTACACCTGAGATGAGAAGTGCAAGACACGGGCATCATCATCATCATCAGCAGCATCATCATCATCAGCATCATCACCATGATCACCATCACCATCACTTATCAGGATCCAAACCATACTCTCTTTACATGTAGGGAATGTTATGCGGAATTCTTCTTTCGGGTTCACTTCCACTCAGTCAATTTACACATTCACCCATGCACCCATTCACCCTTTTATTCAACCACGCGCCCATGCACCCGTTCACCCATTCACCCATTGACCCATGCACCAATTCACCCATTCACCCACGCACTCATTTACCCATTCACCCATTCACGCATGCACCCATTCACCCATGCACCCATTCGCCCGTGCACCCATCCACCCATTCACCCATTGACCCATTCCCCCACGCATCCATTCACCCCAAATCGCCACATTTTGCGCTTTCCCCATTCATCGTGCGCGACTTGAAATGGATTCGCGTGAGCACAACTGCGCGGGGGACTCCGAGGTCCCGCCGTTCTGCGCGAACGCAAACATCTCGGGGGGGCACGCCCGCGACTCCGCCCCATCGCCCTCCTCCCACCTCCCCATCGCACTCTCCCTCCTCCTCCCCCCCTCCCCCTCCCCCTCCCCATCGCTCTCGGGTTCGCATAAAAATAACAAATAGCTACACCTAAAACCCTCAACACTTAACCAATTGATCAATTGATCCTTAAGCCCGGGCCCAAATGGCTCCGGGAGACCACCCAAAAGGTTTTCCATGGGCCCCCAGGAGCCCTAGAGGCTTCAAAACAGTTGAAACAAAACAACCGAACAACTTCTGACCCGCAAACAGGCACAACGGCGGGATGGATCGAAGGCTCGACAAGCCAGGACGAAAGTCGCGACGCTCGCGAAGTCGGGGGCCGCCAGGAAATGATAATGCATAATGCACAATGCACAATGCACAATGCCACAATGCCACAATGCCACAATGCCACAATGCAGGAAGGAGGTAGGGATGCACGTAGAAAAAGGGAGGAGGTTGAGGGGGGCGGGCGCTCAGAACTGATCCCCGGGAGACCCCCACTGGGGCCCGGGCGCGCCCAAGCGTCGAGCCGCGCCAAGTCGCGGCGACGCGGAGGGCACCCGAAGACCAAGAAACTTCGAACGTCGGTCGATCGTCGAGGAGCCTTGCTGCGAGGGGGATTGGGCCGCCCCGGACGCGAGCAGGTAGGCCGCGCGCGCGCCCAGATGTCACCGTCGCCATCGTTGCCGCCGCCGCCCTCGCCCTCGCGGGCGACTTGCGATGGCGAGGAGGAGATGGAAGAGGGGGAGGGGGAGGCGCTGAACCTTTGCTCCGAGCGAGCACGAGACTGAAGCAGCGGAGTGGTCCCTGTCCGCGCATGTCGCGACCTTGCTTCCTCATCCTCGTCTCTCGACGGCATCCCCCATTCATCCTCGTCAGCGTCGTCATCCTCCCCCTATCCCCCTTTCTTCCTCCTCCTCCGCCTCCCCTTTTCCTCCTCCTCCTCCTCCCCCCCATTCCCCGCCTCCTCCTCCTCCTCCTCCTCGCCCTCCCCCTCCCAGTCCACCTCTGGCCCCCTCTCTCCTCCTCCTTCTCCTCCTCCTCCCCCCCCTCCCCCTCCTCCCCCTCCTCCTCCTCCTCCTCCTCCTCCTCCTCCTCCTCCTCCTCCTCCAACGCTACTGGCGGCTGGACAAATCCACGCCATTCCGAGAGACGGCGCCTCTGCGCCCGCGCCCCGGGCAAACCCCCGGGAAAATCGAAAGCCTCGCAGAGCACCTCTCCAGACCATCTTCTTATCCTCCTCCTCCTCCTCCTCCTCCTCCTCCTCCTCCTCCTCCCCCTCCTCTTCCCTCCTCCAGGCAAGCTCAATCGGCAATGATGCCGAGGCTCTCGTAGTAGTCGGCGCTGCTGGAGCCGGCAACCGCGGCGCCGCTCCCCCTCTTGCTGACGAGGTCGACGCGGCGGCGCGGGGCGCGTAGGACCACCGACATGAACATGGCCGCCGCAATTATCCCAGTGAATGCATTGCCTCCGAGATCGCTCAGGAGCGCGTCAGCGGGAATCGCATGGCCCCCCTCGGCGGCGAAGGTCGTGCTGCAGATGTGCTCGAGAAAGTCCCCTGGGAAGCCCTGGAGGCGCAACATCTCGAAACCGAGCAACGGGCGGACGGCGTGGACAAAGGGCGGAAACAACATCATGCGACCGTGGGGAGTGAGGGTCGGGATGCTGTCGACGTCCTCGCTGTACCGCATGCGCTCGATGGATTGCGACGTGTCCAAGCACGTCAAGCCTGGCCGCTTGACCCTGTGCACCACGATGCCATGCTCCTCACGGTCTGGCAGGTTGTCCACCCAGTCGCTCACCTTCGTCACGAACTTAGCATCTGCGGGGTGGACGCCATTCTTCTCGCACCACTTCCACATTCTCGGCTTCCAATCCTTCTGCTGCTTCTCGAGGTTCTTGCTTTTAGTCGCAGCAATGTCGCTGAATGCGCTCTGCAGCTTCTGCGAGCCCTCCTTCTCCAAGAACTTCCCAATGGGCTGCATGTTGTCCTTGCTGCCCAAGCCCTTGGCCTCGGACTGCCCCGTGCCATCGGCTCGATCCTCGACCTCCGAACAGATCCTGAGGCCACGAGCCTGAGGCCACGAGCCTCGAGCTTCGAACAGATCCCCGGGCCGCGAGCTACGAGCCACTTCAGAGCGCAATCTCGAGGCTACGAGCTTCGAACAGATCTGAATTTATCAGCTTCGCAGGGTTGGCGCTCGACCCCGCCCCATGGCCCTCCCCTGACCCGCCCTGCCATTTTCCCTTACCCCGCCTCCCCACCCCACTGCCCTTCACACGCATGCCTCGAAAATGCCGAGACGTCCTCGCCGAGAGGCGGAGGAGGGAGGGGGAAAGCTGGCGCGGAGATGCCGAGAGGCCCAGAGAGGCGTGGGATGCGCAACGGAATCACCGCGCAGCTGAGCACCCTGCCCACTTCACCATCCGGTTCGCCAGCGCGCGCGCCTGCTGCTTCGGCAAGTTGCACATGGCGACGTTCAAGGCCACGCCGAAGACGCGGACCCTCCGCTGGGGGACGCCGAACTCGACCGAAGAGAACTTGTCCGTCGCCACGACCATGCCGATGCTGTCGAAGCCGTCGACCAAGTCCTGCAGGTGCTTCTCGCTGATGAGGTCCTCAGTGTTCTCGATGATCGCCGCGAACACGGGGTGCTCGCGCATGCTGCGAAGCATGGACTGGAAAGTTTCGCCAGAGGATCCTTTCCCCTCCTTCAGAATGTGCATGAGCAGATCCCCCTTGTTCTCGCAATTGAACATGCGGCTGAAGTTCTTGCACGAAAAGCCCCAGAACTCCAACAGCGGCCCCCTGTTGCCGTCGGGCACGGTGCAGCGGCCGCCATGAGCCACGCACTTAGCATTGAGGCCCCCCAGATCCGCGACATCGGCGTAGACGTGCATGCCAGTGCCCTCGCCGGCGCACTCCTCCCGCCTGGTAGCCTTGAGACTCTTCTCGACGGCCATCAAGAAGAGCTGTTTCGCCTCGTCCTGAAGGGGCCCGTTCGGCAATAATGCATAATGCTCGTTATATGTTATATGTTATATGTTGTTATATGTTATATGTTATATATTATATCTTATATCTATTATATACTATAACAGTACATCTATAATATATAAAATATCAAATCTATAATATAAGATATAAACTATAAACATATAACATATAAACATATAAATATAAAATATATAATATATATAATGCAGCGCACACTATACTCTGCATACTATAGAGTATGAAATTTATCACATGTAATTGCTAAGTTAAATTGTAAACCATAGTATACAACATATCATATACCATATACGATATAGCAAAACATATACATATGTCATATGTACATATGTAATATGTAATATGTATATCATGCATTGCATAGTGGATGTCATACAACATATAATATGCACAATTTCTTTATTGATAAACTATTGTGTTACAGCTATGTGACCTAACATGTGTAAATAGTGTATATATTGTATATATAAGATGATAATATGATAATATATAATATGTAATATGTATAATAAATATGTATTATGTAATATGTAATATGTTATATGTATTATGGTACGTATAACCTCTGAAGTGCCCCGATCCTTCTCGCAAGCATACACGTCGTAGACACCGCCCGCCCCGATGTGCACGCACGCGAGCTCGCAGCAGACGGTGGCCACGTTGGAGCCGCTGCAGCCACTGGCCACGGGCACAACGCCCATGCTGAGCAATCGGGCCTTGAGCTCTTCGCGGTCATCGCACACCATCCCATCAAGCATCTTCCTGGTGGCCAGGACAATGGGGTCGGCGCGCTCCAGGCCCTCCGAGTCCGCGACCGCGCTCGGGTCAAAGCTCGGCATCCCCCGCTGGCACCTCGGCATCTTCGTCGGCGGCTCCTCCAGCGTCGGGGCCCCCACTCGCGCTGCGGCCTCGCCAGGGCTCGCATGCGGCGCGGCCTCGCCTGGCGAAGGGGTGGCCATGTTGCGTCGATGCTCGACGCCGGCGCCGCCGAATGCAGACAGGCGGATGCACTCGCTCGGGCCTCAATGAGCCCATGGACGGACCAGGGGATGCATGGACCAGGAAACGACATAAGAACATGGGATTGACATCCAAATTCCCCTGGCCTGTCGCGCCCCGCCCGGCGTTGCGTTGGGCACCGAGAACTGCGGCAATCAGAAACGCACCTAGACGCCGCCGACCCACAGATCACGCATCGCGTATCACATGCCAACCACAGGTGGGATGAACGTCGAATCGCAGCGGCAGAGGAAAACCGAACACAACGCGGTGATCCTCGGGGGCTCCAGTAGCATGCTCGGGAGAGCCCCCCCCGTCGGGCCGCCGCCAGCCCTCTGGGCCACCCCCCTGTGAGCGAAGCCCTCCAATATGGAAGATGGCCCCAAGGCCGCCTCCAGGGCTGCGTAAAATGGCCTCAAGAGTGCTCCCATCACCCGAGACGACCCCAACAAACTCCCCGGGGGCTCCACAGAGGGCCCCGAGAGAACCCCAACGCTCAAGCAATAAGCCAATATGCCACCATTATCCAATATGAAATATCAAAATATCAAATATTAAATACTCAAATATCAAAAATCAAAGATTCAAACATTAAATATTCAAATATTGCAGAATACAAAGCTGCAAGCGGGTTCTAGATCGCAGATATCAAAACTTTGACACATATCACATATTCAATATTCAACAATCATATTTCAAATTCAATATTCAATATTCATTATTCAATATTCAATATTCTATTCACATATCACATATCACACATTCAATATTCAATATTCAATATTCACATATTCACATATTCATTCTTCATTCACATATTACATATTCACATACTCACATACTCACATATCACATATCACATATCACATATTCACACATTCACATATCCACATATTCAACATTCACTATTCAATAGTCACGTATCACATATCCAATTTTACATATCACATACTCACTATTCAATATTCAATATTCAATATTCAATAATCAATATTCAATATTCAATATTCAATATTCAATATTCACATATCACATATCACATATCACATATCACATGTTAGATGTCTCAAGACGGCGTCCACGGATGCGTAAGGCATAGGACATCCCGAGACTGTCCCGTTCCATCGTATGCCCGACCACAACTTCCCCGATCACAGCAACTCTCCCGGGCATCGCTCTTGGATGGGCAGGTGGGCTCGAGCGGGGGGGCATGCCCAATGGGGCGCGTGCTACCCCCATCTGTTACCTTGCATGGGGCGTCATTTGCAGAGGAGGGGCACGAGTCCGCGATGCCGGCCAGCGCCGATGGGGGTTGTGATGGGGGGGGCTCGTAAGAAAGCAAAGGAGGAGAATTGCCGCCGAGGTTTTTTTCTCAAAGGGTAGACTGCAGCCACCACGTGGCATGTAAAAGTTTCAACGGGAACAGCTGCAACACCCGAGGCCGTCCGCGCGGGGAGCCCCACTGGCGGCGGCAAGACCACTCCGCGCCAATCAGTGCGACGGCGCGCGGACCCCCCAGCCTCGGGCAATTGCGAGTCAAAATCGGGCAGAGCACCTCACTGCCCGCTCCTCCTCCTCCTCCTCCTCCTCCTCCCTCCAGCCCTCCCCCTCCTCCTCCTGCTTGTCCCCCCCCGACTCCTTTCCCACCCGTGTTCGGCCCCTGCCACTTTGTGTTCGGAGGCACGGCAAAGACGATGACAGGGGGGAGGAGGAGTAGAGGAGGAGGAGGAGGAGGAGGAGGAGGAGGAGGAGGAGGAGGAAGAGGAGGAGGAGGAGGAGAGCGAAGGCGAGGAGGGTTACGGAGGGGGGCAGGAGCAGCTGGAGGAAAGAAGCCCCGCCTCCCGCCTGAGGGGCAGCATTGAAAATAGCCGCTTGACTGGCAGTGTTTCGAGACGAGAAAATCAGACACACGCACGCACGCACAAATCACACATGCGAAACACAAACTTTTGGAAGTCCGCTCTGAGTAGTCATTGGCCATTGGATCGGGGCCCGGCGGCGCGCCCCGCGCGCCAGGGTGGGCAAGCAAGCGCCTGGCCCTCGGGGGCCCACCTCGTCGCCACGGCTGGACAGAACGCACGAAAAAACTCATGCGTTTGGGCCCCAGGAAGGGTCTGGCGACCCGTTTTGAGGTTGTGTGTTGATTTGTCGTCTACGATCGTCGGCTATGGCTCATGCACTACTCACTAATCACTAATCCACATCGGCTGTCTCCGCCCCCGCCGCCGCCGCCTTTCGGCCCTTCTTTGTGCGCGGAGGGGCGCTGGCGTCCCCGTCCACCTTCGCCGCCCTCTTCCTCGTGCCGCCCTTCTGCTTGCCCTCCTCGGGCGCCGGCGCCGGCGCGATGTACTCCTCCGCCGCGGTGATCACGTAGTCGGGCAGGACCCCCTTCAGCTTCTCATTGTTCACGAGGTGGGATTTGTGCAGTTGCTTCATGGCCTCCACCGCCTTTTTGTCGTCAGCCCCCTTCTCGAGCAGCGAGTGCACGCCCCAGCGGACTGTAATCGCCTGGCCCCTCGTGAGCGTCCGAGCGATTTCATCCATGGCCCCCTCCGAGTGAGCCTTCACGTGCGAGGCGTGCCCAAAAGCACCGACGAACTCTTTCCACGTATGCAGGTGGCCCCCTAAGATCTTGTGCTTTGCCCGAGCGTTGTCGGTGACCTCCGGAGTGCATTTCTCCATGAAGCCCTCCCTCCCCACGTCCACGGTCACGGCGACTGCCTCGAGCTCCTCCATGGCGACGGTGATCGTGGCCAGGAGATGATCCATCACCGTCTTCAGCATGGACAGCGCCTCAGCACCGACGGTCGAAGACCATGCACCGTTGCATCGTGCATTCTCGAGCCCCCATCCTTACCACGTTGCCCTCTGCTCTTAAAGGTGGGCCCGCGAAGGGCTTGAACAAGAACGCGCGTGTCGGGATTGAGGGTGGAGGCCGTGGCCAGAAGTGGAAACCCCACCTGCTCTCTAAGGCGCGCGGTGGCTTCGGGGGCCCTTTCATAACTACAACTCCTCGCAGACGCTCTCCCCACCCTCTCCCCTGGCCCCCTCTGAAATGCCGCGCGCAACCCCCATCCCCCCCTCCCGAAACAGAACATGATGGACCCACGAACCCCGACAGGGACGTAGAACCGCATGCATGGAAACGTTTTCACGACACCGCATTGGGCGACGGGCACTTCCACGAGACACCCCGCGAAACATTCCACGAGACACGGGCGACCGTTTTCAACGTTTTCCTGGAAACATTCCACGAGACACCCCGCGAAACAGTCCACGAGACACCCCACGAAACATTCCACGACGACAGGCAACCACTCAACCAAGGCGGTGTGGTCGTGCTGGGGAGTGGTCGTGCTGGGGTGTGGTCGTGCTGGGGGGTGGTCGTGCTGGGGGGTGGTCGCGCTGGGGGGGTAGTCGTGCTGGGGGGTGATCGTGCTGGGGCGTGGTCGTGCTGGGGTGTGGTCGTGCTGGGGCGTGGTCGTGCTGGGGTGTGGTTGTGCTGTGGTGAGGTCGTGCTGGGGTGCGGTCGCGCTGGGTGATGGTATTGCTGTGGTGGGGTCGTGCTGGGGTGGGGTAATGCTGGGGTGTGGTTGTGCTGGGGTTGGTCGTGCTGGGGTGGGGTCGTGCTGGGGTGGGGTCGTGCTGGGGTGTGGTCGTGCTGGGGTATGGTTGTGCTGGTGTGCGTGCTATACGCTATACGCACTTACCACATACGCACATACCACATACGCACATACGCACATACGCACATACGCACATACGCACATACCACATACCACATACGCACATACGACATACGCACATACCACATACGCACATACGACATACGCACATACGCACATACCACATACGGCATACGCACATACCACATACGTACAAGCACATGGAGTCGTGCACCTGGAGAGGGTAAATCTACAGGCACATACCACATACCACATACGTAAAAAACACACGGTTCGTGCACCTGGAGAAGGCAAATCTCTGGGGCGCAGATCCTTCAAGTTCTGCAAACCAAGCGACTCGCTCGAGACATCCTCGGTAACTCTGCTGAGCAATCGTTTCGGTCGAGACATCCTCAACACACGAAAGAGTGGCCCGCACCCTGCGATTCACCGATCGGGATTTCCAAAACAAGCGTTACGCCTGAGACATCCTCATACTTTAATCCGCCGGCCCCCTCGACTCGACCTGGGTAGTTTTCAAGGAAAGAATCCGCCGGCCCACCTCAATTGAGGCACCGGGGACAGGTTTACCATCCTAAAAGGGAACCCTGGGCCGGCGCCCTTTCCAGGAAAAAACCCTGCGCAATACCCAGCAAGGGCCCCTGCAGCAAGGACCCTGAAATGCCTTGCGCGTGACCTTGCAATGCCCCGCGCAAGAAAAACTTGCAAAACCTCGGAATGACCTTGCAACCCCGCAAGCCCTCTCGGCCTAGGTCCCGAGGAATGCTCTGAGCGAAGGCGGCTAGTGGCCAGGGCGTCGAACCTGGGGCCCTGCCCATGGGCCAGGCCACTGATCGGGCTGAGGGGGATGGGGCCAGCGAGGGAGCAGGAGGAGGAGGAGGGCTGATGAGGGGGGCGAGGGAGAAGGGAGGAAGAGGAGGAGGAAGAGGAGGAGGAGGAAGAGGAAGGATGAGGAGGAAGCATGAGGAAGACGAGGGAGGAGGAGTGCGGGAAGAATTACGGCGACGCCGCTGAGGGCCGCACGGCTTCGTGCTGGTCGCGAACAAACTCGAAGACAGCAGCGCGGTGGCTCTCGTCCAAGGTGGGCGCCAATAACACGAGCCAATCCATGTCCTTGGCCTTCTCTGGCCCATCTGGGTAGAACCTCTTGTAGACCTTCTCCAGCGAGCTCAGCCACGTGCCCGAACGAGCAAGGGCGATGGCGTCAGAGACAACCTTGTTGGCAACTGGGCCGCCGCCCGTCAGGCTCTTAGACAGCTCCACTAGCTTCGAGC